TTTGTAGAGGTCTTTTAACATTGAAGATACCTATAAAAAGTATATAATGGGTTTGGCTGGAAAAAGACACAGAGGGTGGAGAACATTTTTAACAAACAAGTATCTTAAAGATGATGAAGGAAATTTTCTTGAAGAGGATCCGGAACGTCCAAAGAAATATGAGAACTTCATTACACCTGAAGAATAGGTTGGTTTTGTAGGCCAAAGAAGAGACGAGAATTTCAAGAAAGTGAGTGCTATCAATCGCGAGAGAGCGTCAAAACCCGCATATCCATACAAAAAAGGGCGTTTGGGATATGCTCGCTTAGAGGAAAAAATTGTAAGTAAATATAAACTCTACGATCTTATTAATTCTCTCAATGTGTTATAGTTGATGATCTTAATACTTCCGTCATTGCGTAGTTAGAAGAGACGAAAAGTGACGCAACATCACTACCGACACATTTATTGTGGAAGGAAGCCCGTGTGGGCAAGGATCAAGCTGTTAATCCCGATATTCAACATGTGTATGATGAATGTGTAAGTATAAGATTGTGTCTTTAGTTAAATCAATTAATGTTTATTAATATTTAAGTAATTTTTTATCTCCACTAATAATTTTTTATATGTAATTGAATTACAGGAGACCTTGTCGCAATCGGTATCCCAAGGTGAGGATCATCAGGATACCAGGAGCGTACTTAGTCGAACACTAAATATTGCTGAGTATCCGGGTCGGGTGAGGGGTAAAGGTCATGGTGTGACTCCAACCTCTTTGTATAAGCATCCAAGGAGAAGAAATCCTAGCAATGCATAAGTGATGCAAACATTGCAGGATTTACAAGCTCAAGTTCTTGAATTGCAGAAGGATAAAGAGAGATATATGGCGGAAAAGAGCAGTTCACAATTGAAAGAAACTAGTGACAAAGCTAGTATCAACTGTCAGCATAAATTTCCCGAGGTAATTTTCAATATATATCCGTTATTATTATAGAATATTTTTAGTCACTTCTAACGGTTATTATTGGTTTAGGGCATTTCATCTTGCCAGCTATACCTATCGTCACCGACTTATCGACTAGTTGGCAAGGGAAAAGTCCATAACAGTTCGGGAGATTTACTTCATAATAGACCGCTTCCAGATGGACACATGAAAGCATCGGTTGAAATTTCTTTAGATATGGATGCGTTGCTGCCGGTACCTGACATTGTTGTTGAGACCACATTGTTGCGAGATGCAATAGGATCTTTTGTTGCATGACCATCAGACCTCATTTTCATAGATGATCAGGTATGTTGAAAACAATTATGAATCTTTAAGTCTTCAACTGTCAGTTCTGACCTCAGTTATTTCCACGGTAATTATAGACTCCTACAACACCCGCATCTAAGGGTAAAGGGATTTTGCGGCACGACGAGTCTGATGTATCACCAAAAGAGGTACGTTTAAAGTGTTAATTATATGATCCGAATAAAAAACTGCATAATTTTATAATTTAACTGAGTTTATATGATTTTTAGGTACCTTTTCATGGGTCACAACAAGTGAGCCAGAAAATCGTTGGCGTACCACCCAAGAAAAGGGTGCCTACTAGATTTTTCCCTCGATACCGGCAGTGTCTTGAAACAATAGTGGGAACAACAAATTTGATGGATGGTGGTATTCGTCAAATGGATATGGATCAAGGTATCTTTGGTTTTCCTTGCACCGAAATAATTGGACATGAGGACGTGGAACAAATTTTCCGTCATAAAGAATTGGGCGTCAGTATTATGCACGCATACATCCGGTAACCCCATCTTTATATTATGTAATTAGCTGAAATCTTTTTTAAACATTTTCAATGAATATACTCTAATATTAATTATGTTTTTATTTAAGGCTGTTATATGACAAATTGATGCGCGAGAATCAATTGTCAAACAAATTCCATTTTGTGTCTTCCTTCCGTGTCAGCGGAGCGACAATTGGTAGGGAACCGGATTCAGTAAGAGAGCACTTAGTCGAAAGATTCATGGCAACTGGCAGTACAGAAAGCTTATATCTTTGGGCGTATAATACTATTCCTACAGGGTTAGATTTTCATTCTAAGTTCATTTTAATATTTGTAATTTTTGCGTAGAAAAATTTCTTTTAAACTGTTGTTTTAATTTATAGACGTCACTGGTTGTCGGTTTCTATCGATCCTATAAAGGAAGTGGTCTATTATCTGAATTCGGTTGACGGTGATTGGACAAATTATCCGAATATGAAGTTAATGATTGATACGTAAGTGAGATTATTCTAAATATTTGTGTGTATTTATGTATTTAATTATTTCTGTGACATTGTTCTAAATATATATTTTTATTTTGTTAGAGCGATACAAGTATTCCGGTGTCAAAGAGAAGCTCGGGTACGACGGTCTATATTAAACAACATTAATTGGATCAAAGTGCAGGTATATTAATTTCCACTATTTTGCTTATAATATTTACGCTATTTTATAAAACAATACAACTATATATTCTTATTTGTTTTTCTATGTAGTGTCCTCAACAGCAAAACGGTATAGATTGCGGATACTTCGTTATGCGGTTTATCAAAGAAATCATTCAACTGAATCAAATAGAGATTCCAGTCACGGTATGAATTTATAACTTAGGATTTGTTTTATTATTTCTCGGATATTTCATATAATTTTTTACTTTTAACTAAATCATGCATATTATGTTTTGTTATGTAGTACTTCGATGAGTACAAATGTGCATATTACACGAAACTTCAGTTGGAAGAAACCGAAGATGAGTTGTGTCAATATTTTATTGAGCAGAGAATAATATAAAGACTGGTTTAGTTGTTGTTAGGGTTGATTTTGTAAGACTGATTTTGAGTTACAATACTGATAACAATGGTTTATATATAATTTGAGATATAAAAATGGTGTATATAAATTTTGGTATATGAATTTGGTATACAAAAATGCATTACCGCTTTTTTTGAATTACAGGTTATGGCAACTGGTTTATATAAATAATATGCTGCAAACAATGCAGGTATATGAATTATATAAATTATACCTCTAAAAAAAAACACCCTATGAAAGCGCTTTTTGGAGAAAAGCGCTTTCATAGGTAGACCTATGACAGCGCTTTTTCACATAAAGCGCTGTCTAAGGTAAACATATGACAACGCTTTTCCAAGAAAAAGCGCTGCTAAAAGATTACTTATAAAAGCTTTTTTCCAAAAAAAGCGCCACCAATGAAAGCGCTTTTTCATAAAAAAGCGCTGCCAAAAGCCTACTTAAGAGAGCGCTTTTTAGAAAAAGCGCTGCCATAAGGGTACTTAAGAGAGCGCTTTTTAGAAAAAGCGCTGCCATAAGGGTACTTAAGAGAGCGCTTTTTAGAAAAAGCGCTGTCATAAGTAGACCTACGAAAGCGCTTTTCATTAAACAAAAAGCGCTGCTAAAACCTATAGCAGCGCCACCTTAGAAAGCGCTTTTAAAGGCCAAAAAAAGCGCTTTCGTAGTTCTTTTTTGGCGTAGTGGAGTCATGACTTAGCATACAGTCTAGGTATGGTAAGTAGATTCTTGCTGAAGCCAAATGTATCACATCTAGTAGCAGCGAAGAGGATGCTAAGGTATCTGAATAAAACTCTCGACTATGACATTTTATTTCCTGCAAATGATAAAGGGAAATAGTGCAAATTTGTGGGATACACTTATTCGATTTGGTGTAGTGATGCTGAGGATCGAAAATGCACAGCAGGATATGTGTTTATGCTAGGTGGTGCAACAAATGCTTAGAGTTCAAGAAAGGAACCAGTAATGGCATTATCATCGTGTGAAGCATAATGCATAGTTGATTCTCTTTGTACATGTCAAACAACATGGATGGTGAACTTGGTCGAAGAAATCACAGAGAAAGATTATGGAGAAATTACCATGAAGATCAGCAGCATGTCAGCTATCAACCTGGTGAAGAACCCGATAGCACATGGTCGAAGCAAACACATCGAAATGAGGTTCCAATATCTTCGAGAGCATGTAACAAAAGTGAAGATGAGCTTGGAACACTACAGAACTGAAAATCAGATTGCAGACATCATGACAAAGGGTATGCAGGTTGACGTATTCAGAAGACTAAGAGCTATGATAAATATAGATAGCTTAGACACAATGAATTAGGTGGTGTGTTAAAAGTGAAATTCCTTGTGTCGAAAGCAGTATGTTGCTCGATACAAGGTGTGTCGAATTAGTCTATCAAAGTGTGGAAGCAGATTGTTACACACATATTTGATTTATATCTAAAATAGATAGATTTGATTTAGGTCTAAAATAGATAAATTTGATTTTATTTCAAAATATGTATTTTGGCCTTTTATAGTTTTGGGCTTTTTGTCTTAGGAAGAAAGTAATCTTAATTATAAACAGAGGGAGTAACATCTATTTTGTAATCAAGTTGTATTCACAAAATTTGCAGTTGCAATTGAATAAGAAGTTTTCCACAGTTTGTGGGCAGAGAGAAACTCTGCAGAAAATCATTGTCTTCTTTTCTTTCTTTCATTCATATTTTTCATCGGTATTGTGTGGTGATAACAATCTTGTTCATCAAGATTGATAGAAATTCATTATAGATTTTGATGGATTTCCAACAATGTCTATGATTATTTTATATACTCTTGATAGTATTTACCAACTATCATCAAACTATAACACTATTGTCATATTAGTACATTTATCGTATAACAGATTTAATGTCATTTTTCATTGGTTAACTTTTTCAATTTGAAGTTTTAGTTCTACTTAGATATATCCAAAATATATTTTATACATTAACATTTATATCCATCAACAACCATAATCATACAAATAAATAATAAAAGAGGACTCTTCTGGATGTGGCGATTTTCCGAAGGAGAAAGATTCTTCTATGACAAAATACTACATAAGCAACAAAGTAGTGCACAATATAATATTTGGAATTTTGTATCCAACCACATGTGTATTTGGCCGACATTTTAACTTGTTTCGATCAATTCAATGGGACAACCTTTGAATACTTCTCCCACTTTTTTCTTCTTCTTTTCTCAACATAGAAACAAGAAACAAAATCTAGCAAGTAATTAAACTGGTGAGTGCTATATGTAGGTGTGTACATATATAGATAATATAAGCTTAAATTTAAATTTATGAACCATTCCAAGGGTAGCTCCTAATGAGTCAAAGATGAAGTCAAGTGAGAACAAACGTGAAACAATGTTGCTTGTTCTTGGTGGGATAGTAGTTGTCATCATAGTATTGATTCTTTGTTGGATTTTCTTTAGAAAGCATGTTAAACGATCAGAAAAACCAGCTCCAAATGAAGGTAGTAGTTTGAAAAAAAAAACACCATAATACTATGCTTACTATTTTTCTTAGTTTCTTTAATTTTAAAGATATATTCTAATCTTATATATAACTATGTTTGGTTTTTGGCAAAATAGCTGAGCCTACAGCTGCTATGAAGACGATATTTCCATCGGTACAACAATCATCAGGTAATTTAATGAAAAACACCACACTGCGAACATTTGATATAGTCTAAGGATCGATACTTCTGAAAAAAGTTGTGTCTGTTTCATAGAAAATTGCTGTGAACCAAGTATTTATAATTTTCTAAGACATGTTTACGTATATTGAATAGGGTCCATGGATTTATTTAGTATGAGTCTTAGGTCAATTAGCTACTTCGACTACTACACTTTGAGAAAGGCAACCAATAACTTTTTTCATGGTAATCTTCTTGGAAGTGGTGGATTTGGGCCTGTCTATCAGGTAAATAACCTATGTTTGATAAATAATAATTGTTAACATGATGAAATACTAAACTAGAAAACACATTATTTTGATAGGGAAAGTTGGAAGATGGAAGAATGATAGCTGTTAAGGCATTGTCTCTTAACAAATCTCAACAGGGAGAAAGAGAATTTTTAGCAGAAGTGAAATTGATCACAAGTATGCAACACAAAAATTTGGTTCGTCTTCTCGGAAGTTGCATTGATGGACCTCAAAGGATACTTGTATACGAATACATGAAAAATCGAAGTTTAGACCTCTTTGTATATGGTGTGTATCTCTTCTTTAATTTTATTACAGTTTAACTAAATTATTCAGGGTTCAATCTCTTACGACGATATTTATTTATATTTATGAATTAATGTAAACAGTTGATGGTATTTATAAATCAACAACTTTTAGAGAAAATAAAATAAAATTTTGGATTTAAGATTCATCATTTATAATACTTGTTTAATATAGGAAACAATGATCGATTTCTGAATTGGAGCACTAGGTTTCAAATAATACTCGGAGTAGCGCGGGGACTACAATATCTTCACGAAGATTCACACTTAAGAGTGGTTCATCGCGATATCAAAGCAAGCAATATTCTTTTGGACGACAAATTTTTGCCAAAAATCGGAGATTTCGGACTAGCAAGGTTTTTTCCAGACGATCAAGCTTACCTTAGCACACAATTCGCAGGAACATTGTATGTTTTTTTTATCGAAACAAAATTTACGATTATAGGACCTTAATGTTCTGATAGTCTTTGGTTTTTTACTCTTTTTTTTTGTTTTTGTTTAGAGGCTATACAGCTCCTGAATATGCTATTAGAGGGGAATTATCAGTAAAAGCTGATACCTATAGTTTTGGAGTTCTTCTTCTTGAGATTATATGTTGCAGAAAAAACACAGATCATACTTTACCACCAGAAATGCAGTATCTTCCTGAATATGTAAGTTCTATACGAGTTCTTAATCGAAACAACGTCGTAACTAATGTTTTTCTTAGTGTTATTAAGAAACTACGTTGGAGCACATGCATGTTAAGTGCTAAGTACATGCATGTGCAAGACGAGATGGATTTAAAATGAATATTCATGATACAGGCTTGGAAATTATACGAGAAATCGAGTTTATTGGATCTTGTGGATCCAAAGCTGAAACAAGATGGATTTGTGGAAAAGGATGTTATGCAAGCAACTCATGTGGCTCTCTTATGCCTTCAGCCTCATGCACATTTGAGACCACCAATGTCAGAAATTGTGGCATTGTTGACATTCAAAATTGAAATGGTTACAACGCCGATGAGGCCGGCGTTTCTTGATCGAAGGCCCCGGAAGGATGAAGATAACCATTCTTTTGAAGCATCATAAATGGAAAACCATTAATTGAGTTTGTTCTGGTTAAAGGATCATGGTGTCAAAGAAGGGAAAGAGAGAAATTAAGAGATTAAAGACTACAATAGAGTATATTTCATTTGATTTTGGTGTGTATATACATGGTGTATGAATGACCTCATAAAATTATCTATGGTTTCTCAAGTAAATATCACAATGATTTTTTCTACATTTAAATTTTAAATTATAAAGTGATATTAATTGTACTATGAAAGTGTGTTCATACATGTAAAAATACATCGATTTTGTAAGTTACAATAAATCGACTTATAAACACAAAAGAGGGGCAGGGGAAGGTAGTGTCCAGCTAGCAGAGTTAAGTCAGACTATACTTATTATATACAAATATATTACTAGAAGACCCGTGCGTCTACACAAGATAAATTTATTGATATCTTAGATCATTTCATAAGACTTGAAATCTCTCAACAACTTTAAATTAATCATATCATTAGTGTTTTAATTTAGTCAGGACTAGGCATGCGCTAAAATCGCATCATTAGTGTTTTAAAAATCAAACCAAAGAAATCCCTCAACAACTTTAAATTAATCAAACTGCAACAAAATCACACTAGTCATTCAAATAACTAAACTGTAAACGATATTTACGAACCGTTTGATCAACTTTAAAATATCAGTTTTAAGAAAAGATGTTACCACTCATTGATAATTCATATAGCATTCTTTGATGAAATGTTGTGGCTCAAAGATACCCTTCATCATGTGGGACTCACATGCTTAGAAACTCTGCATTCATCATGTGAAATTTCCCCTTGGCTGAAAAATGTTATTGGAATCTAGAGATGCTAAAACCAACGCAATGCATGCATAATCAAATGATTATACAAGTCAGGAAAATTTACATCCTAATAATTTCTCAGATCCATTCAAATCAACACTTATTCTGTTTTTCTTTTCTTTTTTGTTACAAAATTAACACCTATTCTACACCAAGCAAACATCAACATAGTTTGTTGAAATAAAGTAATAAAAACAAATAAGCAAAATTAACAAACTTATGTCAAAACCCTGAAGATCAAACTGAACTGCATAATCATTGAACTTTGCAGCAACCGAACAATTACTTTGCCGAGCGAGAGAATTCATTATGTGCCGCCACGAGAACACACCTCCACCAAACCCATGTAATAAAACAATACCCACTAGACTCATTCACTCTACTTTTTTTTATCCAAAGACATGATATCCGATTCCATTCAATACGCTTCTTACCCAGTTTCTTCCTTCACAGTTACGCAACTTCAACCCAAAACGACGGTCTCATTTTTGTCGTTTTACTCAACTGGGGTTGTCATAAATATCTTCGCAAAACCTTTAAATTAGGTTCAAATGCTTGTATCTTCTCGGAAGTTACCCTCGGCCGTTTCCAATGTAGAAAATGGATCGAGAAATAAAAGAAAAAGAAAATGGGATTTTGAAGACGGAACAAAATGAGAAAGAAGAAGAACATCGTCAAGATGCAGTTAAGATGTATAGAAAGAGGAAGAAAGAGTATTATGGATATGGAACATTTCATGGAAGCCTTTTGCTTGTTTGAATGGGTTGAAGATGAGGATACAGTGAAGCATACGAGAGAGAGAGTGACAAAGTTTATTTCCGGAGAGAGAAATTGAGTTTTGAAATGAGATAGATAGAAGTGTAAGTGAAAAAACCGGATAATAGATGGTTCCAATGTGAATTTAAAATATGGATACCAAGTGTACAAAGGGTAAAATTTGATTGGTTTAGATTAATTGAATTAGTCAATTATCATTAAGAATATTTTTTAGTGTAAATGAAAAAACTAAGAAAGGATAAGAATGGGGGATTGGTAGCATCTCTCATTCTTAATTAGAAAGTTGATAACTTATAATACTTATATATTAATTTATTCAAATAATAAAATGAAACTATAGTTGTCCTAGTCACACTTAGCAAAATGACATCAACAAAAATGTTGTCCTTTGATCGCGACTTGTGTATCTATTTTTTCTTTTATTATTAGTTATTCTATCAATTAGTATCAGATATGATTAACTCTGGTAAAAATTTGATGTGGAAATTTTTTACAAAATGAGCAATTTTGGAATATGGCAAATGAGGGTTAAGGGTCGTTGACTCAACAAGGTTTATTGAATGTGATAAATGAGGCGAGACCTACAACATGGCAAATGTTCATTAGTTAGAGTTGCAACAAAAAGCCACAAGATAATATGTGCTTCAGATAAGGTGACGTATCATATCTTAGGCCTAATGTCTCCAAAGAAGGATTGAAATAAATTGGAGAGTCTGTATATGTCGAAGACGTTGATGAATAAATTATTCGCGAAACATCGATTGTATAGGCTGAAAGATGCATGAATGATCTGATTTTCAATAACATGTATTACTATTCTTACGACCATTTGATGACCCCTCATACATATACGAAGGACACCATCAACCTCGATGTAATTACTTCTACATTCTTGTGTCAATCATAAAGGATAGAGAATGTACATGATGAAACTTAAGGTAAAGGTTTATATGTGAATGGGGAAAGATTTTTCGTAGAACAAGATAATGCAGTTTATGAAAAGTAGAACTCTAATTACAAGAATAGAAAAATAATAGAGTGTTATGGTTCCAGATAGATAGAGCATTGGAAGAGTGATTGTCCAAACATAAATCATTACCCAATAAGTTATACGAACATGGGACAAATTGAGAAACATTGCGATGAAGGAGATCTAGTTTGTGATTCATCTAGAAAGTGCACAAAAGTATGGATTTCTGACTCTATATGTTCTTATCTAATGTTGCTGCTCCAAGAGTGGTTCATTACATTAAAGTCATGTAGTTTTGAATTTATTTATTTAGGTGATGATAAAGCATGTGTTATCAATATAATGCTTGTGGCATGGAGACATTGAATGATGTTAAGCATATTCAAGCATTGAGAACGAATGTGATTTTTGTGGGTACTCTACATATTATGCTTTCACCTACAAACCTGATGTAGATAAAGATATTATGAAGCTCAAAAAGAGTGTTTTGACAGTGATATGAGAGAAAAGAGGATTTCCAAGAACATCTATAAACTATTAGGGAGTACTGTTGTAGATGATATTGCATCATTTTATTGTGGTATAAATGTGGCCAAACTCTAGCATATGTGCATGTTGATCTCAACGAGCATGGGATGATGTAACTTCATAAGACAAATCTATCAAAGATTGTTCATTGTTGCAAGATTAGTTTGTGCAAGTATTATGTACTTGGGAAATTATTGTGTTCATTTTAAGAAAACGAAACACAAAACATAAGGAATCCTAGACTATGTGCATTCTAATTTATGGGGACCTACCAAAGAGGCTAATAAGGGTGGTTTTAGGTATTTTGAGACTTTCGCTAATGATTTTTCTTGCAAGGTTTGAACATATTTCTTAAAGTGGAAATTTTGAGACTATAAAAGAGGTAGAAAATAAAATATTTGTGGTCACGTGATGGGACAGAGTACACTTATTCAAGCTTTTAGAGATTTTGTGAATAACACAATATTCAGAGGTATATTTTAGATTCAAAGACACCACGACAGATTGGTGTGTCAGAAATATTAAGCATAGTTCTAACATAAAAGGTAAGATGTATTTTGTTGAATGTTGGACTCTCAAATGGTTTCAAAATAGAGACAACTCACATGATTGTCATCTCATCAACAGGTTATCATATGCTTACTTTAAAATGGAAGGTTGTATAAGAAGTATGGATAGGTAACTTCGCCGATTTTGTAAATATGAATATTTTTGGATGTTTAGCTTATGAGCATATATTATGTGAGGATCAATCCAAATTTGATCCTAAGTTAAATAAAATTTTCTTCGTTCTCTTTGCAAAAAGTGTGAATGGGTTTAAGTTATAGGAGCCATTTTAAAAAATGATGGTTATCCTCTCATTTCTCAAGATATTTCCTACAAATATCTTTAATGACTCAAGTTTGCACAAGTATCGATCAGGTCAAATCATTTCCTCAGTACTGATATCTCAAATTAGGGTTCGAGTTTGCACAAGGACAATTGGGCTCCTAATATTTCAAATGACTTTCATGGACCATTATGGACCCTCAATATTGCTCTTGTCAAGTTTCAAAGTCTTAGATCACAAAATCGCTCAGTCAATTGATCGGATGACCTAAAATCAGTTGTATTTAGAAAATAGTCAATTGTGGCCAACCTACAATCAAACTTCAAGATTTTGAAACAATAATCAACATTTTTAAGTCATATGTATCATTCAATCAAGATGGGATCACAATTTTCCAAGAAAATCGTTCAAATTGTCAAAAGGGCAAAATGATCGAAATTAGGGTTTTAACCGAGAATGAGCAATCTTCGATTTTGACCTATTACATGACTTATTGGTTTGAAACTTTGATTTCAAGAATCCAAATACGCTATTTTGACCTAATCGCACATTTCAATTCATCTCCCGAGATCTGTGGATTGATAGACGAAATTCGGTCAACTGGTGGAAAAAGTCAAATGTACACTAAAAAGTCAAACTTTGACTTTTTGACCAAAATTGAGTCTCCAAAATCACATTTCATCAAGACATCCAAAATATGAAATTTTATCATCAAAAATCAAGAGAGTCAAAAATCAAACTTTGCATGATTTGGAAAAAATTTCTAAGTATTTTCTATACACGACTAATTTCATTTCTTCATGATATCTTTTCACTACAATTCAAGACAATGCAAATTTCTACAAGCATTCAAGTTATTACAAGACTGCATTTTTTTAAGTTAGAATTTGTTAATTTACAAATCCTAAAGCCTTGTCTTGTTTAAAATTTTCTCTTGACTAAATCCACAAAAACAACCCTGCTATGTTGTCACAGTCTGCTCCAAAACTTGCAATGCTGCCCTGAAAATCTGCATCATATCAGTCTCATGGTTGCACCAAGTTAGCATATAAAGAGCTGCACCCAAAAAGTCAATGATACAACATACCCAAACTGTTCAAAAACTTATTTGTTTCCCCCCAAATCTCAGCCAACTTCATATATAAATAAACTGTTTTCACAAAACACAAAGGATGGCTTTTAGAGAGAGAATAGAGAGTTTTGAACAAAAATCTAACATAACTTTTCTTGTAACTTCTGCTTATTTTTAGTTCTATCTTCATTCACAAAACAGAAAAAACCTTCAAACCATTGTTCACCTTACAAATTCTCCTATAAACCAGCCATCCAAACACTTCATACCACATAGAGATTGTTCAAGCACAAAACAGTTTTTGTAGTTCCCTTATCTTCACCTTCTAAACAAAAGACAATATCGTACAACTTGATAGTTTGGAGTTTAGTTCAGCAACTTTCAATACAAAGGAAGGTTCAATAGCTTTTTGGAGGTTCATTGAAGTCTACACATCATCTTGAAAAGTGTTCAGACTCAAAACATAAAGTGCAGTTTCAAGGTAAGTCTTCTTGACTTTGCATTTTCCATACATCATCTTTGGTTCATTTTGGAAGATAGAATGTAGTAATCACATCCCTTTGAGGTTAACCATTTACTTGCTATTCATTTTTATCAAACATATGCTAAAAACTGACTGATACATGCAAAAGAATGATGATAAAGGCAAAAAACGACACCATGAGTCGATACATACCCACACGGGTCGACTCATTCTAGTGACAAAACAGGGTATGAGTCGACACATGGCCTTATGCATCGACTCATACTGTTATCCAGGCCCCAAAACAGAAGTATGAAAGGTGCATGAGTCAACATAAAATGCGTATGTGTCGACACAAACAGGTGCATGAGTCGACACATCCCATTATGCATCAACTCATACTTAGTTGATTTAGGATTTTTCAGAAATAGGAAGTCGAATGAGTTGACACATCCTATTATGCATCGACTCATACTGAGTTGATTTTGTTTTACAGGAGCAAGAAGAGTTATATGTCAATGCATAGCAGCATGTGTCGACACATAATAGTTCAAAATACAATTTTTCTTTCTTTTTACGTTGTCTTTACATTTTCTTCATTGTTATGCGATATGGTTGTAATATTTAAGTTTCTACTTCATCCCCATTTTTAAATTGTACCCCTCACTCACCTAATTATGTAACAGCGTAGGATTTTAATTTTCGCAAATTTATCATTTTCATATAATTTTAAGTAATTAGGGTGTGTATGGTAAGATAAAATCGACCGTTAGAAAACCCTAATCTCAAAAGATAAAAATGCACGCAAGCAAAACATAATTCACACAAGCACCTTTAGGGTAACCTCGCTTGTTGCCTCGAAAAATATTCATGTCCCTCGAATATGGGCATTTTAGCAAATACCCTCGATAAAAAAATATCGTAGTCCCTTGATGACCCTTCGATGTTGCCTTCGATAAAACGATCTTAGTCCCTACGAAATTTGTTAAAGCGTCTCATAAGCTTCCTTCAATGACTATACGATTGACCCGCGCTTGTCCCTTCACATCCAACGATAGGGCTTCTTACCAATCAATGGTAAGATATCAACATCTAAAGGAGGAGGAAAAGAATAAAGACCTTTTTAGTATGTAGGACGCTCGTAGTTGCTTGCTTACAAACTAAAACCATTTCTACACTCATACTTTCCAAACACCTTAAAAAATAAACATCTCTTCGAACTATT